TGTCTTTTTGATTAAGCATTTATATGTTCACCTGCTGCAGTTTACACTTTTCTTTATCCCATTGCTGTATCTATCTTTTTCTGTATTCATGTCTTGAATTCCCAACTAAATATGAGCTCCAGAGGGGATGACTATTTCTTTTATTTGTGTGTACATGTCCTTGGAACATCTTTGCTAATTTTCAGTGACCAGTATATGATAGAATACCACAAAAACCACGGCAGAGTCTACACCACCCGATGTGAGTGGTTTGCTTAAAGTACATATTTTGGATATGTAGTTTAAGTAGGTGTACACATTCTAAAAACATGTATTTTAAACAGAACTCACTAAAGTGGGAGGGAGCACCCAGGTCCCCACAAAGGGAACCAAGGTGGTGCAGAAGTGGGCGCCCTGAAGAACACTGTTGGCTGAGCTGGGCGGTAAGGGGTCTTCTGACTGGTGGCCAGTTCTCTGTTGCACCTGAAGGTGTTTTGTGTCCTCTCAGAGCATGTTTCACTGGTCTCACTGTCTGTGGGCTCTTGTCAGATTGTCAGCTGTGGTACTGCTGAAGCGTGAAGCCTGTCATCCTCACAGGTCAAGCACTCTTGATGAGCACGGAGAGTCTAACCAATCACTGAGCTACCAGACCCCACTGTGAGGAAATGGATCCCACTGGTCCTCAGCCAGCTGCTAAGAAACTAAAGCTTTGACTAAGCAGTTCGGCAGTCCTGTTGACCAAGTTCACCATTGTTTTTCAGCTTTTGACGTAAGACACTTGTCTTTAATACACTGAGAATGTTTCAGTTACCAGGCTGGAATATTTAAACATCTACCTTAAAAAAATTTTTTTTGGACTAAAATATAATCAATTTGTGAATTAGGAGGACACGAGAATTGACTTTGAGGAATTAGGACTTTTAAAAGAAAGGGCAGTTCCCCATTTAACTTTCTTTGTGTTGTCAAATTTTAAATATATAGCTGGGGAGGAAAGGGTTACATGCTTCAATTTATTTATCCCCAAATCTAAAATTGCACATTGTGTTCTCTCAAGATACTGCACAGAGGATGTAAACAATTTTATATGATGCATGGTACAGTATGCACAGGGAATCATTTTTTTTAATTTGTTATCTATTATTAGACTTCTAATTACTTAGGCTAGATGGAAGCAGAAAGATTTCATTCTGATAATCACTGCCAATGGTTTAGCTGGAGATTATAGGCAGAAGTTTATATTAGATAGTTCAGACTTAAGTAACATTTCTTCCCAAGGAGTTCTAAACACAGTAGTCTTTTTTTTTTTCAACCTCAGTTCTTCATATTTTAACTTTTGTAACAAAAATCTAGAATTTAGCAAATCTAGAAATGATTAGTCTCCGTTCCTTCCTTTGTGCCCACGTCTCTCATTGAGGTTATGAAAAGAATGCTTGCAGTAGACTTATGTGCTATAGAATATTTGGATGAATGTTTAGCATTTCTAGAGAACTTTCCATTCAGTTACTTTTTGTCTTCCCTCAGCTCAGTTGGTAAAGAATCTGCCTGCAATGTGGGAGACCTGGGTTCGATCCCTGGATTGGGAAGATCCTCTGGAGAAGGAAAAGGCTCCCACTCCAGTATTCTGGCCTGGAGAATTGCATGGACTGTATAGTCCATGGGATCGCAAAGAGTTGGACGTGACTGAGTGACTTTCACTTTCACTTTCAATACCCTCCTCAAGAAAGAGTGCACGTTCTGTTTCCCTGATGAGATACATTTCTCATTTTAAAAACCTAATTTGATTTTCTTGAAAAATATGTAATTCTTTTGGGGGGTTACATTATAAATAGTCTTAAGGCTCTTGAGTCCCCAAATGACTAATTAGTACAGTAATAATACACCCTTCTCTTATAGTAATCTAAAAATTATACTGTCCTCAAGAGACTTCAGTTTCATTTGTGTGTTTTGATGCCAGGGTAGAAAATTTGTGTTTCTCACTAGAAGAGTTTCTTCCCTGTGGTTGGAGAGAGAGATGCAGAGCCAGAACTGATATGGGATTGTTGGGACCCTGTGTGGATGGCAGAGAATAGGAGAACCAGTTTCCCTTGAGATTGAAGAATTTATGTTAAAGCATTGAAAGAGTTTTTTATGTGCCTGGCACTCTGCTGAGTGCTTTAGTTGCATTATCTCATTTATTCCTCATAATCCTATGAGATAGTATCCTCATTTCTAATTCTGTGAAAACTAGATCTCAAAATATGGTGGAGGAAGAATTTGTAGCAAGAACCCCACCCTCCTTCCCTGACCATGCTGTGGGCAAGTTTGCTCAGGAACAGACAGCTGCTAGGTAGAATGCTAAGATCAGATGCTGTCCCTTTAATTCTCCTGAACATGCAGTTTGAAATTGGAGTGGAGTACAGAAAGTATACTTAATGCAACAAATTGTACTATTTAACACTCAAACTGATGTTTGTTTTTGCTTATCTAGTTTTTTTATTGGGGTATAGTTGCTTTACAATGTTGTGTTTCTGCTGTTCATTGAATCAGCTGTATGTATACACACAGCGCCTCCGCATTGGACCCCCATCCCACGCTCTAGGTCATCACAGAGCCCTGACCTGAGCTCCTTGCCCTCTATCGCAGCTTCCCACTAGCTATCCATTCTATGTGAATGGACTCAAACTGATTTTTAGAACATTGTTTTTTATAATCATCCTTTTGTAACTGACTGGGGTGTCAACATGTTTCACACCCATTCTACTTGAGCTCATCATTAGTAATTTCTTAACACTAGAGCTCTGCTTTTGAAACCAGTTAGAAGCCTCCACTTTTAAAAACAAATGTTCAAGAACACTGGGGGTGGCATTTCCCGTCTTGTCCCGAGCCAACTCCTGAGAAATCTTTCAATACCCTTGGCCCCAGACTGCACATGTGCCCTTAGAAAGCACTGCAAAAAACCAGAAGGGTTAACTCCAAAGTCAAGAGTTTGAGATAATAATATGCTTGAGTATAACACTGTAGTAAGAAAAATGTCAGAAGATGACATGAAAGGAAAATCGTCTCATGAGAGAAATACTACCACTGAAACTCCGAGTGGAAGATATTTTTAATATGCCTTTAGTTCCACATTCATGCATTTCTAGTAGTGAAGGGTCATTTAACAGGGGTAGCAGCTTAGGCCAAAAATAAAGTTTACTTGAAACAAGATGAGAGGCTCGCCGTGACAAAAATGGAATCCTGATTCTGCTCCTCCCTGGAATGTAAGCAAGCAGAATTTTGTGTCCTAGGAAATAACCTAAGCAAACAGGATATTCACTGCCTTTCGTGATGGAGAGATGTTAAAACAGCCATTGATAGTGCAGCTCTTCTGTAGAATATAAAGCAGCAGTTTAAAATTGTATGTCTGTCGAAAGGTTGAAGGCAAAAGGAGAAGGTAGCAGCAGAGACTGAGATGGTTAGATAGTATCACTGACTCGATGGACATAAATTTGAGCAAACGCAGGAAATAGTGCTTCCCAGGTGGCGCTAGTTGTAAAGAACCCACCTGGCAATGCAGGAGATATAAGAGATGTGGGTTCGATCCCTAGGTTAGGAAGATCCCCCGGAGGAGGGCATGGCAACCCACTCCAGTATTCTTGCCTGGGGAATCCCATGGTCAGAGGAGCCTGGCGGGCTACAGTCCATGGGGTTGCCAAGAGTCGGACGTGCCTTAGCCACTGGACAGCAACAACATATATTGTAATAACCTATGAGGGAGAAGAATCTACAAAAGAATAGATTATATATATGTGTCAGGAAGATCCCCTGGAGGAGGGCATGGCAACCCACTCCAGTATTCTTGCCTGGAGAATCCCATGGACAGAGGAGCCTGGCGGGCTACAGTCCATTGGGTCGCAGAGAGTCAGACACCACTGAAGTGACTTAGCACAGACACATGCACATATATATATAATCACACATATATACTCATTATATATATATATGAATCACTTTGTTATACACCTAAAACTAACACAACATTGTAAATCAGCTACACTTGCGTTTAAAATCATATGGCAGTCTAATGTGTTCTAGTCTGGCACCAGCTCCAAGACATGCTGAAAGGTGCAGAACAACATGGATTGCATGGTCTCTTCTATGTACAGATGTTTAAATACATACAGCTGTAGGCATATGCATGCACAAAAAACAACAGAAAAGACACATCTGAGCTTTGTGCAGTGGCAGTATCGTAGCCAATTAGGTTTATCCGAGGCACGATTATTGCTAATTGAAACAGAAAAGACACATCTGAAAAATCTACAGTTCAGGAAAGGAATGGAAACTGGGGAGTAAGAAGGATTTTGTAGATTTATTCCATATGTTTCTATCTTTAATTTTTCACACAAACATGCACATGTAACATACACACAATTAAGAAAACTATATTAACAGGGAAAACAAAGACTTAAGGTCTCAGTGAAGATGTATAGTGGTTAAGGCATGGATTCTAGAGTGAAGCTGCCAGTATTTGAATCCCTTTTCCTTTACTTGCTTATTATGCTTCCTTACACAAGTCATTTAACTTGGGTGCCTCAGTTTACGCAAATGCAACACAGACAGAGTGGTTGTAGTTGTCATGTAGTTGTTACAAGGATTAAATAAGTAACATGAGAGAGCATATTGGTATGTTTACATAGTAATATTCAGTATATAATATTAGTTATTATACATGACTATACCTAGATATTTAGCCACAATCAATTCTGTGTGCAAACTTTTCAGTTAAAGATGCTTCCAGTGAGAACTGTGGTCATAACAGTGTATTTTCTCAAAGTTTGCCTGTAGTTGTTAATGATATCGTCATGTTTTTACCCCCCTGGTGTTCAGAACTTCCAAAAGAACAGCAAAAATGAATGGAATTATGCTGTTTGATGTAGAATGCCATATGTTTCATTTGTGGAATAGTCCCAACCATGCTTTTTTGACCATCTAATCTAATGTACATATTTATTAGTAAATTCACAGTGATGGAAATAATGAAATTTTTCTTTCTTCCCTAGGAAGACTATGATCGTCTGAGGCCTTTATCTTACCCAATGACTGATGTCTTCCTTATATGCTTCTCTGTGGTGAATCCAGCCTCATTTCAAAACGTGAAAGAGGAGTGGGTACCAGAACTTAAAGAATACGCGCCAAATGTACCCTTTTTATTAATAGGAACTCAGGTATGTATGCTTTGATTTTACCTGTTCAAGAATAACCTTTCTGGCCTGCCTCCTGATGTTGCTCTTAGATGATGACCCCAAGGTTTAGCAAATGAGATACATGTTTAATCTCAGTTGTTAGTTATAATAGATTCTGTCACACTTTTGGGAAAGGTAGTGTCAAAAGAAAGCAGTCACTATATTAGTCCATTTTAAAAATCAAGTTCCTTTGTAATCTTTTTTTTTTTTATATGTGGGGGTTAAATGGTACTACATGTTTTATCTTTAAAGACTGATGCTATTATGGGATGTTATCAACTTTTCTTAACTAGATTGATCTCCGAGATGACCCCAAAACTTTAGCAAGACTGAATGATATGAAGGAAAAACCTATATGTGTGGAGCAAGGACAGAAACTAGCAAAAGAGGTAATGCAACCTTTACGGAATTTAAAAATAAATGTAAATGAAGCTATGGTAGTAATAGAAGCATTGTGCATTTACCATATGCCAGGCTCTGTGCTGAGTGTTTTACATGCATTCGATCATTTAATTGTTGCATCAGCTTGGTGAGGTCAATTGACCAGTTGCTCTGAAGGAGAAAACAGAGGCATGGCAATGTCAGATAACTTGTCAGGTAGCTTGTAAGGTCCTGCAGGTAATAAATGGCAGAGTTGAGTTCAGTAAAGACCTGACTCCAGCCTTCAAACCTGTGCTACATTGCCTACAATATTCTCCTAATAAGTCATGTATAGAAAGAGGTGTCAGAAAAGAGGGCTTCTTAATCAGGTCCTGTCTTCAGTGAAGACTCATGGAGTAGGCAGTGGAGTGCAATTGGAGGGCAATTTAAATCTGCAGTTAAAAAACAAAAAATTATGGCTAGGTAGGAGAGGAAATGTGTTGCAATCTTTTTATGAAAGGTAGAAAATATTATCATTCTAAAAATATAACTCTGATGCACAAAATGCCTCCTAACTTATAGTCTTCCTATCCCCAAAAAAAGCCATACTTTTTTCTCCATTTGGCCCTAACGTTATTGGATTCTATTTTTAGATGTTATGACTTTAATAGGACTTTTGTGGAAATGGAATCTAACAAGGTCTTTTTAAAAACACTATCAAGAGGCAGAAAAGCAACTTTTTGGAGGATAGTGTTTCCTAAAGCAAAAGAGAAATAGTTTCACTAACAAGTCACTTTAGAAATTCCAAGTACTAAATTCTGTCATCTTGGGAGAGAAGGAATTTCTAAATGTCATAAAGGTAAAAGTCATAAATGAAAACACTGATGATTTAACTACATAAAAACTTAATACATCAAAATGCCAGAAATAAAATTAAAAGTCATTTAACAAACTTGACATTTATGGCAGAAAAATGGGTTAATATCCTTAGTGTTCAGGAGCCCCATTGCATATGGATTAATCAGAAAAAGACAGGTATACATAGGTTGGGAATTCTCTCTCTCTCTCTCTCTCTCTCTCTCTCTCTCTCTCTCTCTATATATATATATATATATATATATATATATATATATATATTCATACACTCCAATAGGAAAAGGGACTCAGATTCTTTAAAAAATGCAGATTGCCATCAAAGATAAGAAACACGTTCATACTCCTTAGTGGTCAACTGTAAGTTCAATTTCCATATAAAACTGGCAAAAACACTGTCCCAGCAGGACAGGGCTTCCCTGGTGGCTCAGATGGTAAAGAATCTGCCTGCAATGAGGGAGACCTGGGCTGAACTCCTGGGTTGAGAAGATCGCCTGGAGAAGGAAATGGCAACCCACACCAGTATTCTTGCCTAGAGAACTCGACGGACAGGAGCCTGGTGGGCTACAGTCCGTGGGGTCGCAAAGAGTCGGACACGACTGAACGACTAACACACAATGGGGCAAGGAAGTAGGTACTCTGTTGTTCTATTGGTCATTGAGTAAAAGCAGCCCCAACAACATGCAAAAGCCTTAAAGTCATGAACGCTTTTGATCAAGCAATTCTGTAGGTAGGAGTGTATCCTAAAAAAATTATACAGGATGTGCTTTTAAAGAGATGGCCATAAAGTTGCTGGATTGTTTGTAACAGCAAAAACCAAAAAATCCTGCACCTATTAAAATTTTATACTAATATACCTATTACAGTGTTCATGCTTATTATATAGTTTAAGGGGAAAAAATGGTTGCAAAACACTATGACCCCATTTTTAGACCTGTCAGCAGCATTTGACACAATTGGTCCCTTCTTGAAACGCTTTGACTTGGCTTCCTTGAACGCCCTCTCTTGGGCTTTCTGCTCTCTCGGCCTCTTCTCCTTCTCCTCGTCTCCCTGTCTCTGAATGTTGGAGAGTCCAGGGATCAGCCCTCAGCTTCTTGGATGTCTTTCCTTCTATATCCACATGGATGTCTTTCCTTCTATATCCACACTCAGTCCTTTAGGACTGTTGAGCTTCTATCAGTTTTGTGGCTTGAACAATCTACTACTGAGCTTCCCAAATTCCCATCTGCAGCCTGGACTTCTAGACTTGGTGGTCCAACTTTTCCTCCAACAAGTCCATCCTGGTGGTAAGCATCTCAAAATTAACGCTTCAAATACAAATTAAAATTCCCAATTTTATCCTCCAGGCTTGTCTTCCCAGTTACTCAGGTTAAAAACCTTGAAGTCACACTTGACCTTGTTCTTCCTCTCATACCATACAGTGAACCCTTCAGCAAAACCTGTTTTGTGTTTTTTTTGCTCTCGAATAGATCCAGAATACCTATGTTCCTCACTGTCCCCTCCTTCGACAGCCTGGTCCAGGCTCCTTCCCTCTCTGCCTGGATTAACTGGAACAGCTTCTCACTCACCCTTCTGCTTCTGTCTGTGTCTGTCAACCTGTTCTCAACACAGCAGCCATTGAGTCTTTAAAAATAGAACTCCATTAGCTCACTGCTCTGTGCACAATCCTCCAGTGACTCCCCAGCTGACTTTGAATAAATAAAAGCCCCACTGTGGCATCCAGGCCCAACCACCTCTGCCTCATTCATTGTGCTCCAGACACACGGCCTCCATGCTGTTTCCCGTTTTCTGCCTCCAGGCCTTTGCCCTTTCACTGCTTCCTCTGCCTGGGAGTCTTCTTGATGTAGACATTGTTCATCCTTTCCTTTTAGATATCTGATCCAATATCACTCTCTCAATGAGATCTTGCCTGACCTGTCCCCCTCCCTATCCCCATGGACTATACAGTCCGTGGAATTCTTCAGGCCACAGTACTGGAGTGGGTAGCCGTTCCCTTCTCCAGGGGATCTTCCCAACCCAGGGATCAAACCAGGTCTCCCACACCGCAGGCAGATTCTTTACCAGCTGAGCTACTAGGAAAGCACTTCCTTTTAGATCTCTGCTCCAATATCACTCTCTCAATGCAATCTTGCCTGAGCTGTCTCCACTCCCTATCTCCTTCCCCATTTTTCTCCAAACCACTTCTACCTCTGTATTTATTAATCCATGGTCTTCTTCCTCTAAAATACATTTCATTGAGAGTTGCATAGGGACTTAATTTTGTTCTTGTTGTAGGAAGGAACAAATTCCTTCCTCTGATTTGGCAAATCAGTGCTCTGTAAGTTTTCGATGAATGTATAGACGGATGGATGGATGGATGGATGGATGGATGGATGGATGGATGGATGGGGCCCCCTCTCAGAGTAGAAGCCAAAGTCCTTACTCGAAGTCACCATCTTGAGGCTACCTCACTGACCTCATCTCTTGCCACTGCCCCTGCTCACCCTCTCCCCTGCCACTCTGGCTTCTATCCTGCTCCCTGAATGTTCCAAGCATGTTCCTGCATCAGGGATCTTTACATCTGTGGCTCTGTATGCCTGGAAACCCTGCCAGCAGGTATCCCTCACTGCTCAGACTTTACCTTGTTGAGCAGCTTTCACTGACCATCTCCACCACTGTCATCTGCACCCTCTCCCTCCCTTTTTTTTAACCCATAGCATGTGCCACCATCTCCTCTATATTCCTGTGTTCCTCCCCCAGTGGAACTTAAGCAAATGTAAGCATCACACAGCAGGGGTTTTGCTCTTTTGCTCAGTTCATAGGCGTGATTCCCAGCACCTAAAAACAGTGCCAGGCATATAATGCTGCTGCTGCTAAGTCACTTCAGTTGTGTCTGACTCTGTGCGACCCCATGGACAGTAGCCTACCAGGCTCCTCCGTTCCTGGGATTCTCCAGGCAAGCACACTGGAGTGGGTTGCCATTTCCTTCTCCAGTGCATGAAAGTGAAAAGTAAAAGTGAAGTTGTCAGTCATGTCCGACTCTTAGAGACCCCATGGACTGCAGCCTACCAGGCTCCTCCATCCATGGGATTTTCCAGGCAAGAGTACTGGAGTGGGGTGCTTTGCCTTTTCAGAGGCATATAATAGGTATCCAGTAAACATTTGATGATTGAAAGAATTTTTCAGAGAAAGTCTGAAAGGATATATACTAATATTTTAACAGTTAGCTATCTCTAGGGAATCATAAATATGATTTCATTCTTTTTGCATTTTATGATTTTCCTTATAATGGTATGTTTGTGTGGTACCAGTTATAAAAAAAACATTTTGTATATTTGTGATTTTTTTTTTCTCCCTCCCAGATAGGTGCGTGCTGCTATGTGGAATGTTCAGCTTTAACACAGAAGGGATTGAAGACTGTTTTTGATGAGGCTATCATAGCCATTTTAACTCCAAAGAAACACACAGTAAAAAAAAGAATAGGATCAAGATGTATAAACTGTTGTTTGATTACGTGAGAAACATCTTCAGTGGCCAAGGAAACTGTACATTTCTCTCAGAAAGCATATGAAATGCTACAGCTGTACCCAGACTTCTTATAATGAAGCAGTTTAAAACTTGAAAGAAAAAAAAAAACCAATCCTGTCCTCAGAATTCTATAAAAGTTCATTAAGAATGTTTCTTAAAGGTCCAAGAAGCAGCAAACAGCATCTGAAGCCACAATCTATTATAAATACTTTATTTCAACTAGAAGGTACAATCTCTCAGGGGTTTCATAGTTTAAAAAGCTACAATCACATCATGTAACAGTAAAAAACAGTGCTGTTAAGTGGAACTGCCTGGCTTAGACCATATACATTTCTGCACAGTCTTTATGGAATCTGCACAAAGAAATCTCTTCTCCCTTTGCTCCAATTAATTGTTCTTGTATGTGAGTTTCTTTCTATTCCAGTATATCCAGAGTGGTGAAATAACAAGGCCAGCCACGTAGCCAAAGGTTGCTCCAAGCGTGCAGGAGATGGGCCATTCCTGAGGAGAGAATGTATGAGATCAAAAAGAACAAATGTTTTATTATTACTTGAGCACAAGTGTAACCTAAATATTTCTATATTAAAGCTTAACGTGCTTTCTTAAAGAATGCCAAAAGTGTAATAAGGTCATAACTGCATTTATCATGAACACTAAAAATGTACACCTTTTAGTTAATGTGCGTTCAACTGTAACAAGGCTTCTGGCGATTGTAGATTTAGTTTGATGCTCCCCAGACTGCATGAGATACATGCTGAGATTACAGATTAAAAACTTTGGGTCAGACTTTGTCATAATCCTGGACTCAACTCAGCTCTCTGAACTAGTTGGTAGGTTTTTAATTTCCACATTGGCTTGTATATCAAATGAGACAAAAAGTGTGTATGCTGACCAAACCACAAGAAACTTTAAATCATGTAAAGACAAATGACCTAGAATTCAAGCATGTTACATGGAATTTATAACAAAGCAGCTGCTTTCATAATAAAACTGATGTCACCTTTCAGACATAGATATTGAAACCACAGTAGAAGTTACAGAACTACAACTTAACGTACACATCTACCTACAGTATAAGTTAAATGATGTGCTGGCTTCCAAATACCCATTTTTCTCCAGTCATGTTACATTTCACAATATTACCTCTAGCCAGAAGTAAATAACATTGATTTATTGATCATCCGTGAGCAGTGCATGGTGGTCCTAAGGTGAAAGGTCCTGCTTTAAAAAAAATTTTTTTCATGTTTATCTGTGAAGCTCATTTGGTATACTGGAGCCATTTCTAATTTTTCCCTAGGGAAACAGGCCGTATAACTGTGTTAGAGGTGAACCATCTTAATGATAGTTCTGTTACCTAATTAAGCTTCCTTGTTTGGTCTGCTGTTGATCTACCTTAGTCCAAATGCCATGCAATAGACAGTGTGTTAAGCAAAGATTCAGTGTGAACAACTGATGCAGTTCAGAGAAGCATAATCTAATACATAATTTTTCCCCCCAGCCTTTCCTACATTTAAACTTGCTGTTGCCTAAATTATGATTTATGTCTTTGGTGAGCTTCTGTTAATTTCCATGATTTGAGCTTATAGCTATGTCTATTGCACAGATTGGGTAATGGAACACTAAACTTTTATACTTGAAAATGACAGCCTTAAATGCTCATAGCAGTCACAAATCTAGGATGTATTGTCTTGTATGTGAGCTTTGTAGAGGTTTTTTTAAAAATACAAGCATCATCTTCCCCATTGAAGAGTGGAGAATCTACTGGATAACTGGTCAGGAGTTTTCTCTCCTGAACTGGACAGTGGATATCTTCTTTTTCCCAAGAAGCAGTGGTTCGTGTTAAGTATCATGGCCTTATGTATGCTCAAATGGAATCTGATGTAACTTTCTCATTTAATTTTGGTCTGCTATTTTTAGATAGAACTGAAAGAACTGTATAACTCAATTAGTATATTAGCCAAGTTGTCCAACACATGATATAAAGGAATTAAGACAGTAAGTATTATATATTTATTTCCAGCTTGCCTTTGGGGATTTGATGGGAATTTTTTTCTTCCTCAGTTCACATATCTGAAACTCTTCACACTTGGTTTCCTAGCCAATAAAGTTAAAATCTAGAATTTTCCCTGCCCTAAGAGAAATGGACTAGGAATCTAGAAACACAAACTCTAGTGTCATCTGTTTCTTAACTGGGCCTCATTTTTCTCATCTTTTAACTATGGATTCTAATATCTCTTCCTATCAACTGCTATGATTTTCTTCTTTCTTACAGTAATCACTGTTGGACATTACCTTTTCGGCTTCATGTTCTTAAGATGGTAAAAATCCTGTATATAGATCACTAGAACTCTAAGCAAAGATGATTGTATCATCGGAACCTGAGGTGCCTTAGGTACTCTGCTGACCTTGATGGGGTTTGGAGTTCCCCATTGCTTATGAAGAGCCTTCTCATTGCTTTGGTTCTTTAGTATCTCTCTCTCTCTTTTTTTTGTTTGCAAAACCCTTTCAGCCACTTTAACTAAAACCAAAGATTTCTTTTTTTCTGTTTATAAACAGATGATAGAAAAGTTGCCTTATTTTCAGAAGCATGTCTTCATTTAAAACTTAGGTTTCCACAGAAATTCAGGCTAATCACTGGAACAACGTAGTGAAATATCTGGAAAATAAAATACTTCAAAAATATCTTACTGACATGAATTTTGCTAGTGAATGAAAATACAGTGCTTCAAATAAGATCATGTATGAATGAACTCAAACTTAGTTAAGTTTTTTTGCATGTAAGTAATCAGTTTGAAGTCCTTAAACATAGTTTTAGGGACTTCCCGACATCTTATTTAATATTTTGCTTATATCCTTATTCAATCTCTAAAGGTACATTTTAGGTTAGCCTATGTTGAATTATCATATTTCCAATAAGTAGAGCCTGAACTAATGGTTTTTATTGTGAACTATCTTAGTTACTTTAGGCATTGCTTCCATTTGATTTTAATTATTCAGTTTACGTACCAAATTGAATACTCGTTTGTTGGTTGTTGCTTTTTAAGTGATTGTTACTTTAACAGTGTCCCATCTCAACACATGGGGTTACAAATAAAATAATATGCATAGTTTACTACCTATGTAAAGTATTGAACTTCTTACCTTAGTAGTTTTTATTTAACACTCTATGTAAACATTTGGACTAACACTCGATTTTCCTGTGTTTCTCATCGCTGTGAGCTTATGCATCATCGGCCAATTGTGAGCACTTGCACTTTGGTAAAGAGCACATTGTCAAAGTGTAGGGAGAATCATAATCCCTCATGAATCCAGCCAGATTCCAATTTGGGTTACTAAATTCTATTTTAATCACTTTGTAATTTCAGTGTGGCTCTTTGTTTCCAAACACAAAGATACATTTACACACACATTCTTCAAATAGCTGCCATACCTCACCTCCAGTGGAATGCCAGAAATGAAGTAAATATTAAAAAGTTTAAAAGTTTTGCCTAAAGAGGGGTTAAAGTTTGAAACACTTGCTATTCAACATCTCAAGGAATCCATGCCATCAACAAATCAGAATGTTGGACTAGCCGTGGACACTGTTTGCTAGTGACAGGTCACACTCTCCTGCTTGATTGTCCTTAAGTAAGTAACCCTTATCTGTGACACAGTCATTTTTAACAAGGGATTTTCTTTATATAAGGGCAAACTTTCCTGATTTTTATAAACCGAGAATAGGGGATGGCACAGAGACTATTGGAGGGAGTTGAGGTCGGGGAGGGGCGGGAGGCTGCCAACAAACAACCTTTCCTCAAACGGTTTGCTACTAACCTTCTTGTAACTGCTTTAAAACAATTTAAAAACTATCCTGTGGCAACAGATCATACTGAATTGTCAAACAAGCCTAGATTTGTCACGTATTTCCATAAATAGACTTTGAAGTTTTCCATTTAAAAGTATCATCTCACATATGGAGATGTTTCTGTTTATCCTTCCTCATACTACAAATAGGATTAAAAACACACACACGGTATCTATTGAACAGACAATTCAACTCCGTTGCTATAAACATGTCTCCAAATGATGGTCATCTGAGATGGAGCTATATAATTATCTTGTTTTGTTTAAGGAAAATAGAAAACTCAAAGACATTCATGTAAAAGTCACAAGTGTTTATCACCAAAAGGCCATCTTTTTATCCAATTTTTTATAAATGTAAAAAATTTTTTTAATCACTAAATAAAAGAAAACTTTCTATCGCATAACAAAAGATAATATAGTGCAATTGGGTAAAATTACTATAGTTTCTGTCAAAAAGGAAAACTAAAAAAATGAGTAGCTACATCATGTGAAGAAAGTACCCACTTTAGAGTACTACTATTATCCTTGCTCGAAATCAGATAATTCCTTATGTGTCTCAGCACTTGAAAAGTCAGTGTTTCCTTAAAATAATCAGCATTAACAAAGGCCTGATACATAGGATCTTAGTACATGGTACTAGCAATAGGTTATTTTTCTCTTAGAAAGAAAACAATTTCACCCTAATAAGCTTTAAAAAACTTTTAAAATAATACAGATATGTGTTTTTCTGTTAGAAAAATCACTATTATTGCTGCTTGAAAGACACTTCAAAATTACATAAGTTTATTTCTACCCAAAGACCACACTACATTCTTCTGATCAGGCACTGCTATAAAACTCTGCTTTACATTTTAGGAAAGGAAAATGTACTAATATACAGAGTTTGAAAGCATGTTCTAAGTAGTAGAGTATAGTATTCTCTATGTGTATATATGTGTGTGTGTATATATATTCTGAATAACTTTGCTATACACCTGGAAGTAACACAACATTGTAAATCAACTATACTTAAAAAAAAAAGTTAACAAAACTATGACCCTAGGCAAGTCGCCTAACCTTTCTGTGCCTTGGTTTCTTATCTGCAAAATGAGGATCACTGTAAAACGCACCTCACAGGGTTACTGTAATGACCAAATGAGGTAATGTCCTATGTGGTACTTACAGTCATACCTAAAACATAGGTCTGGCACATAGGACAAGTGACCAATCAATGAGTTATAATTGATAATCTTTCAGTTCATATTTTTAAATAGGCACATATGAAGTAAGTTGTAATTACAATCTGCAACCCTATCATTCCTCAAATACACCATCTAAAGCTATTTTTTAAAGTATTTCTAAAAAACTACACCATTTCTATCATTTTTAAGAGTCTCCATTTGAATGGCTCTATTCATTCAAAATTATGTATTGAGAGCCCCTACTATAAACCAAGCAATTAAGGGGCAAACTAAGATTATTTTTTAGATAAATTTTAATAACACAAACTTTAAAAAATGTGTTGCAATATAATTTTTGGAGAGGTATGTGATATGAGAGATCTCAAGGGAAAACTGACTTCTCTGCAGATCAGAAAACCTAGAAACACTCAGAACAACTCACAACCATTAGGATTACTGACTCATAAAAAACCCAGGCAATTCTAAATTTCACACAAA